ATTAGACTTTAGGGCCTTTTACTAGATAACACAGTCTCTTAAGGCACTTAAGATATATTTTTACTTACTTAAAACTAAAACTTACACTTCTACTTCATGTCAGTGTGACTTAACATACCTCCATTTCTCTAAAGGCTCCAATTCAAGCCTTCCATTCCTTTCTCTCTGAGGAACTCACAGAGGCTTCTATTTCATGCATTCCAACATGCTGCTAGGCTAGTCACTGATATGCCAGCTTTTTTTTTTTTAAATAAGACATTGTCACTTGTTTGTTTTTCTCCTTCTGTAAACATCTGTCTTTCACATCCTTGTTTGTGTCAGTCTTTGTCAGGAAACATCTATCTTTCACATCCTGCGATGAGTTTAAGTTAGGATTGTTGGTCAGGCTGATCTCCGCATCCTTCAACACTAAAAACAATGTTTTCACTGGAAGTGAACTCCACTGAAATGGAGTACAGGATCTTGAAAGGAGAAAAGAAGACAAAAGCTAGGACTGCTGTCCTGGATTTCAAAAACAATGTTTTCACTGGAAGTGAACTCCATTGAAATGGAGTCCAGGACCTTGAAAGGAGGAAAGAAGACAAAAGCTAGGACTGCTGTCCTGGATTTCAAAAGGCTTCAGCACATTCAGGGATCTACTTTGGTGAATCCACTTGATATGATCCTGGAAAGAGAACAGGTGCAGAAAGACTGGTTTTGATTGGTTGGATTTTTTTGTATCTCACAAAGAATTCACTTTCTACAAGCTCAAGAATGGCCTATTCTGTTGTGCAGGAGAACCTGAAAGGTTGGCAGGAGGGTTTGCATGGATGTGCAAGGAGAGCTTGAACTCAAGGAAGGAAACTCATGAAAAGGAAGCATACAGGAGGTGGACATTAGCACAGGTGACTCAGAAGGAACTGTCTAATTCTGCAAGGATGAGTTAGGAAAACCAAACCAATCTTATCAAGGGATGTAAAAGGCAATAAGAAGTGCTTCTACAATAGAGAATGTGCACCCACTCCTGAATGAGACAGGGACCTGGTAAAAAACAATGCTGCAGTGGGCCATCACGAACGGTACTGCAAAGGTGGGTGACTTCAAGTAGAACTTAGGCAGAATTTAGGTTTTGGTGGCAGAGAAGCACATGTTAGCGTGAGGGATCACTGAACCTTAGCATACAATGCGTGCTGCCACTAACAATGCAGTCTGTGTGTGCTCTTTGTAAGGGCTTGTTCCCACAGAAATGCTTCCAAATTCCAAAGTGAAATGCTTTCAGCAAACCTCAGTGTGTACCCTTCTAGAACATTTGGTTTGTACAGTAAGAGATGGATGGATTTGTTTTACTTGGAGGAGTACTGTAAAGATGTGAGGAACAATGAGGCTATTGAGCCTTGCCACAGAATGCTGCACAGCAGTGGCTCCACCAGAGAGGATTGTCCTGCTGCTCTGCATGTTTTCCAGAATTGCAGGAGACATATAAGACTAACTTTTAAAAACACCTTTTTCTGTAGGGGGACAGAATATAAGAAAATTAAGATAATGTAGAAAGTAATCTTACCCCTAAGGAGTTGCAGCTGGGCCAATTATCAAAGATTAGGAACAGGCCTGACTTTAACAGGCCACAGCTGTGGGCAATCAGAATTAGAGTGCTATAAAAGAGTGGAGTGGCTGGGTGAGAAGGGAATGGGAGTCAGCTGGCTGTTTTGGGAAGAAGGATAAGTCAGTGCTTGGAAGAGGTGCCTGTGAGAAACACCAAGAAGGTATGGAACTTCTGTGATAAGGAGATGATAGTATGGAGCCCCTGCAATAAGATGATGATGATGTTTTTCTCTTAAGCATCTTGTGATTTTTTTTTTTTTTTTGTTTTTTTTGAGATTCAACTGCACCAGAACTTCACACTACAAAGCAGATGTAGGAAGAGTTAGGTTCTGAATGCCATATTTGCCTTAGTCTTTATAATCCAGTTGGGGTTGAAAAGGATCTTTAAAGGTCACCTAGTGCAACATCCGTGCAATGAGCAGGCACATGTTTAACCAGATCAGGTTTCCATTGAGCTTGATCAGGTTTCTCTCCAGCCCAGTAAGGACTGGATAATTATATAGTGAGGTAGATTGGAAACAGCTTCTGAGTTCAGAGGATCAGCAGCACAAAGACGTTCTGGAGACCAATCCCTTGCGTCAACACTAAGGTCATATCACATAACATCTTCCTTAATGACCTTGACAATGTCACATGCAAAGTGCATGCTGCCAAGTTTATAGATGGTTCAAAACTGGAAATAGTGATTGATGTTATTCATTGTTCCCAAAAATGGATAAAAATAATAATAAAAAAACACCCTTAACACCAATGTAGTATTATGAAACTGATATTCTTTATTCAATGCTGGATGCATGAGGGGCTATCTCCTCTGAATTATTGTGCATGCTGAATAAAGAGAAGCTCCTTTTTAAATGCTGTATTTTACATGCCTATTCATTGATTTTTTTTTTCCAGAATCAACATACAGAGGACAAGTTTTCCTGAAATCATTAACTTTTTCCCACCCCTTTATGCACTTATTCTTCTGTCCTGGGAGTCTCTTAGGTGATCCCTGATGGTCGACCCCAAAGTGATACCTGATTGTCTGGTGAACTGGTAGAAGTTGGCAAATGGGCTGGCTGCTTTCCAGCTCTTCTTGCAGAATGGAAATTGTGCAGTTCTGCAGGCCAGTGGTTTTTGAAGAATAGATATTGTATTAGCCCACAAGGGTACAGATGATTTTTTATCTGGCAACATCACAATGTTCCTCTGAATAGGGACAACTGACAGGTTGGAGAGATCAGCAGATAGGAACCTAATGAAGCTCAGCCAAGGCAAGTGCTTTTCTGCAGCTGGGGAGGAATCACCCCACATGCCAGCACAAGCCTCACTGTTTTCAGAGAATCTATTAGAAAGTTAGAGCACTTCCTGAGTCACTCTTTATATCCTGGTGCTTTATCAGTACAGCTTCTCATGTGTTCAGGATGATGTGGAGTCCTTCCTGCAGCTGCCTGCAGTCAAACGTTTAAGAGCAGCCTCTGTCTGCTCCTTGGAATAATCTGATGCCAGTTTGAGACAGAGCATAGGTGTGTGAAGTTTGGCGGTTCATCACCTGCTTCAGAAGCAGCTCCTGAGGTTAGACAGCTCCTGGGCTGGTAATTATTTAATTACTTCCAGCTGAGAAGCTGAGGAACAGTAAACCTACCCTGGCCATATTACTGCTGTGATAAATGGTTATGTTCTGTACTAACTAAATTGTAACTATATCAATATTTTAGAAAATATTTGCTATAAGGTAATAAAGGGAAAACAGATTTGCCCTTTGCAGATGTTATATGTGAGAAGCAGGATACAGGATGTGGTGTTGAGATGAGCAAGATCCTAAAACAGAATCAGCCTTGGGATGAGCAAAGTTGGGATGATTCCAGATATGGAATCTAAAGTAATGGTCTTATCTGTGAAATAATAAGACTTACTTGGAACATAATGCTTACTTACATAACACAAACTTAATGCACATGCACAACCTGCCGGGTTATTCAGAGGACAGCGAGGAAGTCAGCAAGCCTTCCTCCAAAAAGATGACCAAAAAGCCAGGAGATTCCTTAGCAACAAGTGGAGCATGTGCTCTGCAGTACAGTGATGTAGAGTTCAAGAATTGAAAATAGGAGCAGATTTATGGAAAATTATTGATGAATATGCATTAGCATACAGTATATAAGGTTTGATTTGGGTTCCTTTGTTTCCCATGTGAGGCAGGATGAGAAGCCCTCCCCGTACCCTGGCTGGTTTTGCTTATGCTTTATATGAATCTTAATCACACTTAATTAATCACTGCCAAATTTTTGTATATGCTTGATTATATTTAATATACTTGACTGTATTCATTTATACAAAATTGCTGTTCAATTAACATTCCTGCTGAATTAAATTTTGTTGTTTATTAAATTAGACATATAGAACTTCATAACACTACCCACTTCCAGACTCACTGCTGGAGAAAGTGGTGAACTGAATCTTGTGAAAAATAGGAAGAGAGTTGGTTGCTCAGGTCAGCACAGTCCTTGTGTGCTGTTTAGGTTTGTCACTCAGAATATGTCAGTACCACACAGTTTGCTACAGCTTTATCGTGTCTCCTGACCCCAGGAAAGGGATCCTTCAGGGAGGCCTGCAAATGGAACCAGGAGTTTGTAATTAGCAGATGTGAATTAAAGTATTGACATGACTAAACTTAACAAAATAGACAATAATTTCAGTATAACAGAACAGCTAACAATGGGAAGGAAATTTAGGAAGCAAATCTGGCAAAACAGGAAGACAAGCAGCTGGATGCAATATGTGCAGGTAAGAGATAAGGAAGACTGGCTGGTTTTGCATCAACAATAGTTTAATAATATAGTAGCTTGATGGAATGTAGGCCTAACCACTTGCTTATTGAACACTAACCAAAAAAGGAGAGAGGGAAAGGTGGTAAAAATGCTATATAAACCCACTGAAATCTATATGGAGTATAAATGCTTCTAGAGAAGCATTTCATAGATCATGGGCTCTAATGCTTTCTCTCAGCTGGCTTAATAAATGCATTTTTAACAGATAAAAATTGTTTGGCCTGTTGACCTTTGTTTCAGCAATTGGCTCATGATGACTGAAGGGAATTGCAAGGATAAATATTCAATTATGTGCATGAGGTGTCACAGTCAAACTGGTGACATACAAGCAATTTTTCTTTAGGGGGTTTTATAGCTTTCACTGTAATGGTACAACTTGAATCATCCAATTACCCACTAATGGATATTTCTAATTACCCAATCATAAAATATATTTTGTAGGCCTTGCAGCATCATCATGCATCAGCATCTGTTGAAGCAGTGATCCTGTAGAAGGGTGTAGTTTTCCTCTGAAGGTCTAGTGGTGGTGTAGATGGGCCTGGTATTCCTCTGGGAATCCAGGGAGAAGAAAGCTGCTCCTCTGGGAATCCAGTGGGAAAAGGCTGACTGTGGTGTTCCAAATCTCAGATTATATCCAGTTAGGAATGCTTGGCTCCTCCCCTGGATGTAGCATCTCACAATGGGTTGGTGGAATTTTATCAGTCACGCAGACTTCAGGGGGTTTTGTCAATGGCCCATTAACAGAAGATATTTTAAGAATTGTATAATTATCTTTATTATGATGCAAGCGAGAGTAAGCAAGGTTCAGCGCTGGGCAGCCAGGAGTCCCTGCTCCTCTTAGGCACGTACCTTTCCCCCCTTTAAGTTCGCTTTTTATTGTCCCTTTCTTCTGGATTTCTGGATGATGTGGTCTGTCTCCTGCGCTTGCTCCTCTGGTTGCTAGGGGTTCTTTCTCTGCCTTCTGGTGGTTGTGGGATGAAGGCCCCAAGTCTTCCTCTTTGGCTGCTTTCCTTATAAGGCATATCTATAAGTCGAAATTCTACAAGCTAAGCAGTTCTTGCGAGGTTAATAATTGTTACCATATGTTGACGGTATCTAGTTACAGAGGGTCTCCTATACCTATGGGGTGGAATTTGCAAGCCAAGCAATTCTAGCGAAGTTAATAATTGTTACCAGATGTAGCTGTATCTAAATACAGAGGGTCTACTATAACTATGAGGGGGGTTTGTAAACAAAGCCATTCTTACGAAGTTAAAGGTTTTACCATATGTGGCTCATCATATCAAGAGCTGTTTAGCTGTTGTTTTATAATTTAAATTATCTAGCTATTAATGAACAAACGTATTGCTACTTATTACATTTACTTCTGGAAATGGGGCGTGAGAGGCCCGGTTTTTTTGCTGTGGGGTGTTTCAGCGCTCCAGGCCACTTCGTGAGGCGCTCCCAAGGCGGGCCGGGATCAGGACTACATCTCCCGTCATCCTCCGCGCGCCGCCGCCATCTCGGCACCGACCGTAGGGCCGGGCCGGCTTCCCCGCTCTCCCCGCTCCCCGCCGCTTTCCTCGGGCCCCGCCGCAGTCCCCGCTCCCTGCCATGAGCTGGGACGGCGCTGGCGAGGAAGTCCGGCTCCTCCTGGACCTGTGAGTGCCGCCCCGACACCGACACGCTGCTGCCGCCGCCTGCCCGCCCTGCGAGGGGCTCCGGGAGGGGGGCAGGCCTGGGGCGGCCGCAGCGAGTGCGGGGCGGGCAGGGCCCGGCGGCGCTCGGGAGCTGCGGGAGAGGGGGCGGGGATCGTCTGAGCTGCCCCCTCGGGAGCGGTGACAGGGCCGGTGACAGGGGTGACGAGGTTTGGCAGGCGTGTAACAGGATGTGACACTTGACGGATCCGGGTGTGCAGGGACGGCTGAGGATCTCTGGCTTCTCCTGGCCCCTGAGAATCCACTGAATGGTGTTTTGCTATGAGTTTTTATCCGTGTTGATACAGAAATTGGCTAGAAAACAAAATTTCTTACACAATTTGAAGTATTAGAAAGCAGGCATTCTTTATTGCATAACTGGACACATTTGGAGGATTTTTCCTATAAGTGAGTGTATCCTGACACGTTACAAGATGTCTGTTCCATAGTGCTCTATAGACACTTTACAAGTGCCCATTCCATACGTGTTCTTTAAAGCATGCTTGCTGGCTAATACATAAACATCACTGTCCTTCAACTAATTTTCATGCATCCATGTCTCACTGGAAGTCCTGTTGTTGTGAAATACAAAGCTCTGTTTCCTGTCAGGTACATACAGGCAATGTGCGTATTTGTGATTGTGATATGTGTGGAGACTGACCATGGGACAGTTATAATGATGAATTCTAATAAATAACTGAGCAAAGTGAAGCATGGAAGAAGCCTTTGAATCTGTCCTTTGTTCACAATTAACTTTTATAAGTCTTAAGTTGATTTGAATTAAAGTTTTAAGGTGTTGTTTTGACAAAAGTTTTCTGCTTGTAGGTAAGCCATAAAGAGTTTTGCAGTCATAACCTTTTGAAGTATAATTTTAGAATATTGCTTGTAGTAAGGATCTTTGAAACTATAGCTTTAGACTATATAAAAAGGAAGCATGCTTATCTCAGGCCTTAACAAAACAGAGAAAAGCAGCTTGAGAAAAGAAGATGAACATCAACTCAAGGATTAATAGTTTTGACCAAGGGAAGCTGGACATCACCGTTATGAGATTTATAGTCCTTGCAATTAAAAGTTGGACCCACATCTGGAGAGCTGGACCTCACCAGCTGGGATACTCCTTTCAGGATGTACATCCTGAGAAGACTAAATCACAATAGTGTACAGAATTGTGATGTAAAAATGGGGAGTAGAAACTGCTGAGAAAGCTGAGGAGTACCCCTATAAATACCTGTGACTATTGGTGTGCAGTTGGAGGGAAAACTTCCCCCACTGTACCCAGCGCTGTATTGCTCATACTTTACCATATTAATTAATAAATTGATTGCTGCTTGAATATTGGCCTAGTCAAGCATCTCATTTATAACACTGTGGTCCTAGAGGGTCTGAAGGGGTCTCTGGTGGTCACCAAGTGTCCCCAGCGTTGCAAAACATGACATTGCTTTGAACTTTTCTGGGGACATGCAGTTTCTTCTTGTTACATATCTTCTGCACAAAAGCCACTATATTCCTCATTGTCTGTTTACCCACTGGTTGCAGCTACATTTAGCATCCTGTGTGACTACTTTTTTATTATTTTATGTAATTTGTAATTTAATTTGTATTTATGTAATTTAAGCTCTGTCTTGCAACTCCAAAGGGGAACTGAAAATTTCTGTTCTCCTCATTATCTTCAATGTCAAATTCCTTTGTGTTCTGGAGGAAGTTAGAAACTGCACAGGAATAAAATATTTCATTTGAAAGATAAAAGAAGAATATGTAGCAAAGAGTACAGTTAGATTGTTATTTGTACCTTAAAGCACTGATGATAAGATTATAGTTGCCATGGTGTAGCCAATAAGTGTTTTATAGTTTCCTATAAAGTAGAATTACTGTGAAAACTTTTCATTTAAATGATTAACTGTGTAAACTGCAGATCAGTATTGTGCTATGAAAATAGCAAACAGCTTTTTGAAAAGAAGGTGACTTATCTTAACCATTCAAGGTAAATTTAATATGCCATTGTAAGAGTTGGCATAGCTCAAATTGATTTCAATGTATCTGGGTCGGGTTTGGAGCATTCCTTGTGGATTTGAACTAAGCAGTTGGTGCACCTGCTAGAGGTGATTGTCCTACACTGTATGAACTTCAGTTTTTTTTTTTAATGTGCTTTCATGCAGGAAATCTTGCTTCTTTCCTGCCTTAAGTCTGTGCTACCCTTCAGATTATAAAGCATTAATATTTTGACGTCTTTGAAGTTATTATTTGGTGTGAGTTTAATTTCCTGCAGTTTGGTGGCATTCTGATGCCAGACAAAGTTTCGTTGCAAATCCAGTTACCTGTGGGGACTCCAGAGCTGTGGTTATATGCTGAATTTAATTTGGCATTACTCCAGGCTGCTGCTGCCCCCTGCACTCAGCCACTTGTCCTGGCAGTGTTGTTTCTGTGTCCTCAGAGTTCAAGTCAAGGGATTTTCATTCAGATTTTCATTCAGACACTTAACAGCTCACACCGCAACTGCAAATTTCAGAGACAGCTTGAGGAAGGCACAGAAGAAAATGGTTGAGGGGCTGATTTTTGCCCTCAGCTGCTTAGGGAGCAGTTCACAGCAGGATCAGCTTGACCCCAAAGGGCAGCAGCTGAATCAGTGGTAATGTGAAACAGCTGAAGCTGATAAGGTCTGAGGGAACCATAGCTGGGTGCAGAAGATGACAAAATATGGATTGGTTGTTCTAGTTCTACCATGCAATGCCTCTTTTTGACTGTATTGTCATTTTCCTTTATTTCAGATGCCTTCAGTGTTTGACAAAGAACCTTTCCAGATACTCTGCAGATATTAAGTCATTGCCACCCAATATAAAGGATAAACTGATCAAATTAATGAGTAGGCAAGGGCAAATAACTGATGAAAATATCAGTGAGGTAAGAATCCATACTGTCTGTTTTGGGAGAGGAAAGCAGCCTCTCCTGCACGCCAGTCTGTTCCTGAGTGATGTGTGTTTCACGATACTCATGCATAATTTGTTATATATATTATATAAAGGATTTCAGCAGCTTGTTAGAGTTCTTTTGGTAGAACTCTGTTGACGCTAAGCACACAATCTCCATATAATTCATTTAAATTTTGGTTCCTTGAAATATAATGATGGCAGAGCTAGGAATCAATAGTTCAAATTATCCCATCCCTTTTGCACGCTGCTGTGTGTCATTGTTTCAGTAGGACACCAGTTAAAGACATTTCTTCAGCTGTAAATACAGCAGCACATCTGTCTTGTATCTGTTTACTGTTGTCTTGTTCAGCCTCAAAGGGAGGCGTGAGAACTGAAGGAAGCCAAAGGTTGGCCTTGGTGAAAGCAGAAAATTAACAACTCCCTGTGCATTCCTGCTTAGACCTGGAACTCAAGAGACAAATATTCTCAGTTTGTCAGAGTTATGATAGTGGAGCCAAGAGTAGAGGCAGAAGCACTGTGGAAAACTGAGAAACAAAATAATTTAGCTTTAGATAAAATGGTTTTGTGCTTACACAAATTAAGTGTTTGAGTAAAAATCAATTTCTTTGGAAAAATTGACTGGACAAAATCTGGTTTAGGCTAGCTTTTCAGTAAGGAATAATTTCAAAACATCATACTAGGTGATATAATTCAAGCCATGTGATTGTGTGTGTATGAATGCACAAAATCCATCAGGATATTTTTAGCCTGGAAATAAACTAGAGACCTTGATTTACAGATATTTCTGCTGTCTCTTTCTAAAGTCTCCTCTGTATTTGTCTTCATTCAGCAGTTCATCAGTGCCTTCTCTTGGAGCCTGTTTTCCGTGTGAACCTAGGAAATTCTGCTCTGGTTCTTTTTTCATGTGTTTTCCTTTCTCTGTTCTTGCAGTTTTCTGCAATTATACCCTTTGTTGTCATTATTTTCCCTGGGCATATTATACCTTAGCTTTCTTTGCTAGCAGTATCCCATTTAATCATGTCCTTCATGTCTTTCCTGTTTTCCAAGGGTATTTTTAAAGAATTTTGCTTGAAGTTAAATTTTAGTTGAAATTGTTGATCTGAACTTTTGTGTGTACTTCTATTTAATCTCTCACCTCTGTGTTCTTGTCCAAATTTGTGTTACCATGCATCTTTTCCCCCCTTACTCTGCTTTTTGCTTGGAGCAGCCGTCCACATGCATGCCAAACTCCTTATTCTAAATCCCTTTTACCATAAAGTTTTATAAAGCCATTCAGCAAGTGTCCACAGAATATAAACTTGTATTTTTAAATGTCTTTTTTTCTATGTGCTGCATCCAGACAACCCTGTGTCTATCTTAAAATCTTATATATTTGCAAAACAGCCAATTTGCCTTGTAGTGTCTTTATTGTACATTGTTAGAGTGAACAACAGGAGGACTAGGCCTTTAACAAGCCTTTCAGCTGTGCTGTTATCTTTGCTAGTTTATGGAAATTTATGTTTCTGTCCCTGGGAGTTAAGGATGGGAGTGACAAGCTGAAGGGAGTATCTGGCTGTTGTTACTAAAATCTGTTACCTTCCACTGCTTTGGGTCCAACTTTTATAAATGTTCTCTTGGGAAAGATTTCCAAAAATTCCAGTCTGGGTCTTGTGGGAGTGAAAGATCCCATTTAATGAGGAGGGAAGTTCCTTCTAAATATTACTCTTATTTGTTATGCAGGTTGAAGTTTTGATCAAAGTCAGTGTTTTTTGTTTTGCACTGCAGATTTCTGCCCCCAGAGTTTTGCTAGCAAGTGTGAGGGCATTGTCCTGGGTACACAGGTAGCAAGTGAACCACCAAGATTGTATTTCCATTGTTTGAGTGGCAGTATCAATGTGTTCCTGTTCCATGTGTCACAGAAACAGTTTGTGCTGTGGGAGCTGAACTGTTGCACAAATGGAGCAAATTTTCTTTGGGTTTTAGTTCCTGGGTTTTGGGGTTTAGGACTGGTAACCCTGTCACAGACATATTATATGAAAATTTCTTTTGCTAGGATCTTTTCTCCTGAGAAGCTGACAGGCCTCAGAAAAGAAATGTAAACATTGATTATCTGCTGCTGTGGAATGCAACAGGTGCATCTGTGATTGGTTCCATGTGGTTGATTCTAATTAATGGCCAGTCACAGTCAGCTGTGTCAGACTCTGGTCAGTCACAAGATTTTCACATCCCACTCTTTTCTATTCCTTTGCTAGCCTTCTGATGAAATCCTTTCTTCTATTATTTTAGTATAGTCTTAGTATATAATTTTCTTTTAATATAATATATATAATAAATCAGCCTTCTAAAACATGGAGTCAACATGCTCATCTCTTCCCTCATCCTGGGTCCCCTGTGAACACCACCACAGTAACCCCACCCTCTACTGCAAACTTGTATGTGATGTGTAATCTTACAAGTATTTGCTATAAAATTGCATAAAAGTGTGTTTGATGGCAAAGCAGAGATTGACTGAACTGGTGGGTTTTCATTTCAGGTGTTGCACCCTGCTGTGGAGTCTCTGGACCTCCGAGACTGTGATATTTCAGACAATGCATTATTGCAGCTTTATAACTGCAAGCAGCTGAAAAAAATCAACTTAAATTCTTGCAAGGAGAACAGATTTGGAATTACTTCAGAAGGTGTGTTATCTGTGCACAGATAACTGGGATCTTAATTCTGGCTTATTTTTCTTGTTAGATTGGAATAAATTGCAAAGAATATATCTAGGGTAAATATTGCTTAAAAACTAAATCCCCAGTGCTATCCCAGTACTAATTAACAGTCTCTCCGGTGGTGTAAATTTCAGGCCTAGAGCACAAATTATCTTAGGAGAGAGCTATCAGGTTACTCTCCTGCTAAAACCCCGCTATGCTCAACATGTTTTCCACTTTATCCTAATTATTCCTTCCTCAAAACCTGTTCAGAGCCTTTGGACTCAGCATGGTGGCTATGTTAGAGAATGAAAAACTCTTTCAAATGTTGTTTTTTTGGCAGGAGTCATAGCACTGGCCTTGTCCTGTCCCTACCTGCATGAAGCCTCTTTCAAAAGGTGCTGTGATATAACTGACAGTGGAGTTCTGGCTCTTGCACTCAACTGCCAATTCCTGCAAATAGTCAACTTGGGCAGCTGCTCAGGCATCATGGATGCATCTCTGCAGGCACTGGGAGCAAACTGCAAATTTCTTCACAGTGTGGACTTCTCATCTACTCAGGTAGCTACAGTGGCACTTGGCCAATTGACTTTTGTTTGTTTCTTTTTTGAGATTGTCATGATAAAGTTCAAAGGGGATTGTTGTAGCTTTACTCTTGACAAGATTTAGGACCATAGTTTATTTCTAATTTCTGCCTCTTAAGGAAAAGGAAAGGTATATTTTGTTTATTAGTGACTGGAAAAATACATGTTTTGGTATTAGAGCATGTATGGTGAACTAGAGATAAACTTTTGTTAAAATCTACCTTGGAGTTGTTTTTAGCATATCTATTTAGTGCAATAATTTTCTTAAGTTGTAAAGTAATCCAAAATATTCAATTTAAAGCAAGTAGAATCTTGGACAGATAATTGGCTGCTTTCATTTAGGACAAACTGATGTGGGTAATAGTCTAGGATGTCAAACAATACAAGCCCCTAGTAGGAGTAAACACTCCATAATTAAATGATATTTTAGGAGTGATTGTGCTTGTCAGAGTTATATTACAGAATCAACACTGAAAGAATGACATTTTAAATGTCAGAAATGGCAGGGAAGAAGATTTAACAACAGTGTTTAGCATGAGGAGGGGGAGACAAGCTGCAAAAGCAATCCTGTAACGTATTTCATAATTACAGGGAGATAATGAAGCGAGGGAAAGGTTTTTTGCAGTAAGTGTAGCGTTCAGTTGACACTGATGGTGAGTAATTATGTTGAATGTGAGTCCAGTACTGAGCATTCACAATGAAATGTCAGTCTGGAAATCATGTAGGAGGTTCTTATTTTAGATGCTATTCTTCTTTTGATTTTTCTAGAAGTAGGGTATCAAAAAAGTCTTAATATTTCATTTGGTAATTTTTATTTATTGCCATTTTAACTCTTATTTCTCCAGACTTACTTCACTGCTTTTTTATTTCCTTGCCTCTCTTCCTTTATCGAAAACAGCTGTTTCCCTGTGTGTGTTTTAAATGAGGTAAAAACTTCCTCAGTAACTACATGTTGACACTTTTTTTTAAACTTTTCTGCTATGATTACTTTTTTCCCCAACCCAAATTGGTCTAGGTAGAGCAGAAATGCTTTTTAAACCTATACATTTCAAGTGCTATGCTCTGACCATATTAGTGTACCCACTGTTAAATGAGACAAGGAAGCTGCAGAAATAACAGTTACACAGTTGGAATTATCCTTGCAGAAAGCCAGGCTGGATCAGGTGGCAGGAAGATGAAGCAGTATTTAATAGAGTGAAAAAAATCCCACCTTGGATAATTTTCTCTAGTAGTTTAGCTGGGAAGAAAAAAATGTAGCTTTAAATGTGTTCACTGACTGCGGGGAGTGAATAAATTAATATGATTTTTGCATCTAAATAGCTGTGCTTGAAAAAATTGAGCTTTAATCCATTGTGGTTTTTCCCTCAGGTAACAGATGATGGCGTTGTAGCACTAGTGAGTGGAAGATGTTCAAAGAATTTAAAGGTAACTGACTTAACCTAATAACAAAGGGCTGAACAAAGGAAAATACCTGTATTTTAGAATTATAATTACTATTATCAGCAGCATCACTTAGGAGGGAGGGTTTTTACTGACTGACTTTAATTTCTGTCCTCTTTCAAGATCCTTGGAGTTTATAAATTTGAAAGACTTGGCAATAAGACAATGGCTTTTTTCTTTTATCCTACAATCTCCAAAGTATATTTTACCAAATCCTAATTTAACTAGATTTGATGGTCTTTTTTTCCACATTTCTTCTTACATGTTCTCATTATTGATCGTTAAGGCAATTCAAAAGCAGGGAAAAAAAGTTGGTAATAACCTGTTTTGTTATTCTACTTTTCATTTTTTCCTAGCATGTACAAGAGGCAGTAGTTATACAGTTGCAGAGAAATTAAGAAAAGAGCAGGGCTTAGTCTGATCTTAAAGAAGTTCTTTGATTTCTTTTAGGAGCCATGTAGATAAACAGAAATACCAGAAACTTCAGCAGAGGCTGTTTTGGGAAAATTGGGGAAACACCAGAATTTAGTTTGGGTTCTGTTCTCCTGGAAACCAGTTGGTAGGAGAATGTCATAGGCAAAGTGATGGGACTCAAACACCATGGAATCTCCTTGAAGAGTTCACTCAGATGTCCTGAGTGCTGTGTGTGTGTTGGGAAAACTCCCCTTTGATGTTGGAAAAGATCAAAGTTTCACAGATATGGATGCTTGGCAGAAAGCTCTCTGAATGTAGAACCTGAGAACAGAATAGAGATGGAAGCAAGTTTTGATATAGAAGAACAATAGATGTCTAAATTGGGAATTGGTGAGCCATTTGTTACTGGACAACTAAGAAAACAAAGGTTGAGTCAAGCTGGAAGGAGATTTTATGGCTAGAGCAAAGGATTTGTTGATCACAAACAAAAAAGATGTTTTTACCAAGCAGAAATAGGTCTTAGGAAAAGAGGAAAGATACCATGGGTAAACAAACATGCCAATGTGGCAAGTAGAAAAAAGGTCTAAGAATTTTCCACTGCAAGAAAACAGAAAAACAACTTAAAGCTGAAACTGTACCATACTAACTCATGTGGTTGGATAGTAATGACTGTAATGTGGTAATGATAGTAGTTGTGATAGGCTACAGGTACTAGTAAAGGTATTGTGTATGATGCTGATTGGTTGTTATGTATTAAGATGCTCAGCAAAGAAAAATCTGTAACACATCGTAACCAGAACTAAAGGGGCTTCAGGCTTGCCTATAGCTGTAGCTGGCAGCTGTGGGCATGGCTCTGTTAGCCATGACCTGAGACTGCTGTAACATTTCCTATGCAATAAACAGCATTTTGAAGAGCTGCCTGGAGTCCCACATCTCTCATCTCAGGCTCTTACACTTTGTTTTTAGTTTGGCCTCTTTACAGAAAAGCTGTCTTATTTTTCCTCGGGGTATTTTCCTGCTCTGCACAGGACCACATATGAGGTCAATGCTATAATTCTTTCTGGTTGGGGATTTCTGAAATGGGTTGGGCAAAGGAAAGCTTTGCCTCTAAAACTCTGGCTGCTCTGATAGGCTCTTGTCATTCCTGTTTTCCTAACAGGAGATCCACATGGAGCGCTGTGTGAATCTGACGGACATCGCTGTCGAAGCTGTCCTTACTTGTTGTCCCAAGATACACATTTTCCTGTTCCATGGATGCCCACTGATAACAGGTAGGTCTAATCACAAGAAGATAATTACTTGCTAATCAAGTGCTTTCTGAAAAGCACACTGTACTCCATAAGTAATCCCAAACAAATAATGACTTACTGGATAAAATAATCATCATACACTGAGATTTCACAGCAAGCTGAGAGTTTTGCTTTGAAATGTGGCAGCAGCCTTCAGAGAGGTGATTTTTTTTTTTGTTTGAAAATTGTGGGTTTTTTCCCCTTCAGCATGCTGATGAAGACTCAAAGACTTCAGAAAAATATTAGCATCTTAATCCCTTACTCTATTCCAGAAGTGGAACAGCACCCATTCAAGAAAAGTGGAATGGAGTAGGACAGCCTATGGGTGTCTTTTACAGTTGGTGATGCTTTACAGTTAGATGATTGGAAAAAGAACCAAGAGGGTTTGGATTACTAGAGATGTATCTGAAATGTGATACGGTGATAGCAAAATAAATATAAATGCAGATATAGAATTTCTTTACTGTGTTATGTGCCTATTCCAAATAGCACCTTTATATTCTGAATGAGTAACAAGAAATTCCTTTGTTGTTTTTCAGATCGGTCCCGAGATGCTTTAGAGCAACTCATCATATCAAACAAAATCAAGCAACTAACATGGACTGTTTACTGATTATTTATCCTGTATAGGTGAGTGTCGAGTTTACAGGTGGAGAGCTCCTTCAGTAAACAAGCACCTCGGAGAACTAGCTGGTGACTTTTGTTCCAGTAGGTTGCATCCCTCCTGCTTCCCACTGGAGGTCTCCGTTGCCATTCCAGTCCTTGCCCATGAGCCTGGGCTTCCTCATTGACTTTCCTTGGGGCCCTGTATTTGCATTGACCATTAAGAGGAAAGTTAAACTATAATTAATATTACAGGGCTGTTGCTCAGGCTTCCTGAAGTGCTGGATTTGGCTGCTACTTAGCATCCATTAGCAATTTAGCCACAAACCCAGTTTAGGTAAGTGTGTGTTCTGAGTTTGCATTTTGGGATGGTACTTAAAAGTACCCAGTTCAAATCTAACATTGACACACAGCAGTGTCTGTGAAGTTGGGAGTTGAATGTAAAAAAAAGCAGCAGCCAGAACTGGTGAATGGAGGTGGCATTAACAGTGAGACAAATGTACTTGCAGTAATAACAAAGAATCTCCTTTCACCGTGTATGTTTGCTAGGTCTGGAGTAAAAAACATAGGTACCTTTATTGTGATGTTACTGATGCTGCAGGTTTCTGTTCTTACTTACCATCAAATACTTGCTGGATTTTTACACATCCTGAAGTACAGCCTGTGAATGTGTGAACATAAACTTGCTTTGGAGTTGTTATGGTGACTTTACAAATTTCAGAGTAGTAGCTGTGACCAAGAAACAGGATTTTATACATGGGCAAATATTTAATTTGACCTGGCTTTTGCCTGTTTCTACATGAAAATCCTTTTAGGGAACAAAACACTGGTACTTACAAGCATATCTGTGAGTGAAATAGGACCAAATGTAGTGTCTGAGCACATAAATCTCAGGATGGTAGAGTGTGTTCTGCTGCATGCAGTTCATTACATATTCAGCAGCCCCCAGAAGCTGAAAATATAAATAAATTTATTGTTCAATTATAGTAATATTAAAAAAATAATTTTTGAACTGTAGAGTTTATTACATGATGGAGCAGTGCTCTCATCACAATTGTAAGTCATGTTCCTTGGCTTTCTTGAACCAGCATAACCTCTAGTCAGAGTTCTAGGGTTTCTGTATGAAGCTCCTTAATGCCAGCCATTTCAGCTTTATAAGGGCATGGAGCACACTGGGTTCATCCTCTGGATCTGGAAGTAGAAGGGTTTAGCTACAGTGGTCTAACATGGATTTGATGACATCTGGAAACCTAAAGAGTTTAGGCAACCATAAGGAATATATTTACTTTAGCATTTAACTCTTGTCATAGCCATACCTAAGTGTTGCAGAAATAAACCAGTCTTATATTAATGTATTTAAAGTTCAGGCCTAATTGCATGGAAGGTAATTTTTGTTGCCAATATTAAATGATATTATGATGTCTGACAATAACCTTTGTTCTTCTGTTGATTATATGGTTTATGAAAGTGCAAGAGTATTTAGAAAGGTTGTACAGGTGTCAGTAAAAGCATATTTTTCCAAGACCAGCACCTAAATCCCTTAGTCTTGTTGCATGGCTCAGCCAGTGATGAATATTTTCCTGTGATCTCTGTGGATGTAACTGCACCAGTATAAACCATTGGTTCAAGGAGTTGATTTTGCCACAGTAGCCACAAGCATCTGGCAGCTGTTACTGCAGCAAATCCTTGCACCTGATAGAGGCCTAATAACCTAATCTACCAGGTTTTATTTCCCTTTTTTTTTTTTTTCCCTGAGGAGTAGTTTATTATGCCCTGTGGTATCCCTGGGATCAATCAGGACCCATCATTCCTTTGAACTCTTGGACAATAAATGTGTTGCACTATTTTTGATATTGAATCATACAACTGTTTAGGCAGCTCTGTGAAACAATGCTACTGCTAACCTCAGTGGCAAAGTTGTCCTTTTTCTCTGTACTAAAATAACCTTGGATTTATCATGTTGAAGGCAAGTGCAGCTTATACTGTGTCCTTAAGTGTTCCTGTAGATTTACCATCTTCCCCCTACAGCCTCTTCTCAATGTGTAACTTAGTGGTACATCCTCACCTGGTGCTTAAAAAGCTGTTCAACACTGCAACGAGGTAACACTGTAATTTTAGGTTTATTTTTAAAGTTACTTTAAATCTTTCACCATTAGAGCTTATGTTTTTAGTATTTGCATAACACTGCTGGAATGTGGTTTTGGTTCACAGTAATTTCCAACAAATGTTTACAAGTACTGGGTGAAGTGGGAGAAGAACCTCATGGCTGTGCTTGCCACTTCATATTCTCTATTGTTTGGACATTGTTCTTGTTGTGAGCCTTGCAGAACATTCACATATTGTTATGAAGATTAAAGTTTAGAAGTTGGCTGTTTGGATAGTTCTGAAAACTTGCTGGATTATAGAACCATGTATGTCTGACTAAGCTCCTAAACCTCCTACTTCATGAATGCCATGGTTTTCTGAGTGAGTACCACACACTATTGCACATTTGTAAGCTTTCACTACAGCACCTGGCACCACTATGGGCTGTGGTGCAGTTATAGCTGCCCATCACTGCTTGTTCAATGACTGACTGCTTAAGTTGACACTTCCTCTAAGACTGCTCTGAAAAGATTGGTTTCTTCTTCAGATGGCGACAGTTACAGCATCTTACCTGAGGAACAGGTTTTTTTTGTACCATGTTTGGCAGATGAAACTGGTTCTTAGTTGGCAGATAAAACTGAGAATGATTCTGGAGTTTGTCCAGCATCTCCTCAGGAGAAGAGCAAAATAATTATATCAGACTTGCATTCCCTGTTTTTATTTCATTGCCCTCTGTTTGTCACAGAAGTAAAGACCTCTTCATCCCCCAGCAGCTTCCTAAGGTGACAGATTACCTGGTTTACCCTTGCAAAGGGTAATGTAGGGAGTGTAGATCATTTGACCCTACTCTCAAGGGAACAAAGGTACCCCATAGCTGGTACTATTTATTCACTTTCCATTTATTACAGCTTTTACACTGGCTGGCAGTCAAGAAGCAGAGTTTAAATTTGGGTGCAACTCCTACATAATCACTCTGTCTGTTTCAAGGAAGAGGAAATTTTTATTATAGAGGGAAAGGGGGAGATTTAAATTAGTTACTTTGACATTCAGAAGAGATACCCAGAAAAAAAGCAAGGCACTTCAAGTTGAGCATATTATGAGCTAAAAATCTAGTGGAGAATTTTATGGAGGACAGCAATAATTTTCTATATTTAGAAATTTTCTATAAATAAGCTACAGAAGCCTGTAGAAGCAATGCAGTAGTCCTTCAGCCACAACCCTCTCCCCACAGCAGTATGTTGGACATCCAAAACATTTCACAGTAATGTCAGCAGGACACAAATACCCATGGGAAGCATCAAGCATGCAAACTCCTACGTGTAAGTTGTCTGTAGATCTGCACTTCAGTGCAGGCCCCTTTGAATACAGTTTGCATGTAGCTTTTACATCAAATTGAGCAAAAGCCTCTGTGAGTATGATTGAAATCAGTCCAGTGGAGGTACAGTAAGCTGCTTTACTGTTCAATTCCCATTTTCATGTTATATACCTGCAAAATGCCAATCAAGTGAGACAAAATCCCATAGGAAGGCAGCTTCAAGAATCATCTAAGCTGTTTGAGGGCTGATAACTCCAGACAATACTTGATGTTAGCCCATAGTTTTCTTGTCTTGTAGACTCAGGCAGTGAATATTCTATAACTTTGTGCAGCTGGCTGTGAATGCTGTGGCTTAAAAACTGATGTCTGCCAGGGTCACCAATCAGCACTTCAGTCTGGTGAATCCTGATGCACTTCTGCAGCCAGTGATGCAGACCATCAGCAAGTTGTTCATCATAAAACATATCTCCTAGAACTATGAGGTCCCAGTTGCCAGCCTCTGAATTAATGATGTTCTTAATGGTGATGGGGAAGGGATCCAAGTGGTTCAGTTCACAGTTCAAGATCATTGCCATTCCTGCAACTGAAGAAAAGTCAAAGTAAAATTTAAGTTACATTTTAGGATTCTGTCATTCAACCCTCTTATGTATTTCTGTGATGAAATTTTTAATTTTCTTCTCTTAAATGTTGTTCATCCTGTCTAGGGTGCTTCCACAGTTTTTTATTATGAGTCAAAATCTAGCATGAAATGATGAAATTTTCTCCTCGTTACACCATGACACAGGGAAGAAGTTTTCCTAGAAGGGATACCACTGGAAACCAATCATGGAATTGAAGTAGAATATATTAACTGCCTTAATCTATGGATATACTTCTAATGAGTAATTAAATGATGAATAAACTGTACTCATAAGTCAATTAGGGAAAGGCAAAGCCTAAAAGAAAAAGGCAAAATCTAAGCCTTGATGTACATGAAAGTACAGGAAAATGCTGTGGTCCTACAGAGAAGCCAACTTGCTGCTTGTGCTTGGAGTTCTCATCCAAACCAGCTCTGGTGGTGTATGGGCAACACTTGGCAGAAAATTTGCTGTTTGTTCTAAGGAGCTATGGAAAGATACCTGGGCCAAGAGAGGCTGGTACAACCCAGCTTCCAGTATTGGCAACACCCATTCCTCTTTTTAGCATTCTTAGGAGTCTGTTTGGAACTTGAATTTTTCCCAAATGGAGCAAAGAAAAGTCTGTGTTAAAGGTGCTTTAAAAATGATTAAGTATCTTTACACAGAGATGGAAAAAAGCCTTACTGGGGTCAATATCATTGGCAAGGACTTGGGATGCACCACTCATCACAGCAGCTATGGCTGTTGCTCCACATCCACTTCCAAGATCCAGAACCGATCGCCCTTTAACCACACGTGGATTATCTAAAATATACCTGAAAAAGAAAAGCTATTAAAGCCATGAACAAGATCAGGCAAATTTCTCAGATTTACAGTACACTGCATAAGAGTTTCTTGCCAAACATGTAATGAAATATGGTACCTTAATACTGTTCCACATGTGCAGCTGCCATGAAACTCCTTATTTGTCTCAGATGATACAGAAATCAAGAGCCATAATTTTTGTCCCTTAGTGTCCTCCCCCACCCACAAACAAAAAGAAATTCAGCCAAGTAAGCAACATTTTATGTCAATCAGCTCCTTCTCTGACAGGTGAGCTTATCTGGTAAGTAGACACTTCTAGGTAACTAGAATTCATCAGAATCCATGAGAAATAGTGAAGTAAGGATTTGGAGAAATTCAAAACAATCTGACTGAAAAAAACATGATGTGTTCATAGTGAATACGGTGCCCACCACCAATCTGAAACACTGCTTATGCAATTGCTTGGCAGAAGAGGATTTTCTCCTCTTTCTTTTCCTGAGCCATGCAGATAAAGATGCAAATACGTTGAGACTGCTTAGTGTTGTTCCTGAGTAGCAATGAGAAAAAGAATAGAGCTGTGGTGAGCAGAGAAGGTATCTTCATCTAATTGCTGACACCTGCCAAGAGAAATCCTGAAAAACTTCTAGGCTGAAAGTGAAGAACTGACAGAAGGCAAGTAGCAGTTATTGTTAAATACTATGAACCATATTGTAACTGTTGCAAAGTGTTCAAAACTTTAACAACTGCCATGAAATTCAATTTGCTGCCAAGGGGAAAGCCCCAGGTGTCAGGGAGAAGAGCACTGGGTGAAATGAATTACTGCAGACTGCCATAATTTTACTATCAATTTCCATAACTACTTTTGAAGTAGAAATAAGAATTCTACATTTGTGTTACCTTCTGGCAGGGAGAGTGATGGCTGACTCTTCACAGGGGTCAGAGGTGAGCACAACTTTTGCAGGGGGACTCCAGTGCAGATGAGTGTCACAGAAATGTTAAGACTGGTGTGCATTGGGAATGGATGGATGGAAATGTCTGGGCCTGGAAGCACCAGCAGCAATGGCAGCAAGAGGCTTGTCCAGTGCATGACATTTGTGTCCAGGCTCAGCAGCTCAGATGTTTAACAGCATTCCCCAAGGCCATCACTCCTCTAAGTACAGCCCCCACTTTACCACCAGGACCAAGGATAGGCATGGGATCTCCACAGAAGTGCTGTGTTTCTCCTTTCTAGGAGCCCCTCTGGGATTGGCCATGACTTTCCATTAGTAATTTGTGTAGGGTGTGATGTGGCCCTAATGCTGCAAATGCCTTGCTTCCAGCTGAGTGATTCCTGAGTTGCTGCTGCTGGTTGGGTGACTCAGGACAGCTGGATGCTGCTGTGTCCCCTGGCACAGTGCACACAGTGTCTCTGCCCTCCTGGGTTAATGAGCAATCTTTAATTACACCAAGAGTAGTGTGAAATAGGAGATTTCTGATGCTGTGGAAATGCCAGCTCTGATAGGAGGACAGTTATATGGAGGCAACCATATGTTTTTGTGCTCCCTTTTCACTCTTCCAAATTATGCAACTGATTTCTGACATTTCTTAATACATCAAACCAGTGCATAAACAGTAAGACAATAAAGTAGTGAAATGCTAGATAATTATTACTGCTACCCAAATATCCAAGTATATGAATTATAAGAAAATTTAGAAATTAGCTAATCTATTTTATATACCCAATGTTTAGGAGCACTCTAGTTCATCTATATGGCATAATCAACTCATAATTTAACAGTAAGACTCATCTTTTACCTGGTCAAAACTGCCTTCTTATTTATGCTCTCTTGCAGAAAAACAGTAACGCCCCAATTCAGATTCTTCCCTTTCATCTATGTGGGGACTCTCTGACAGCTTGTTCTCTGCTGTAAAAATTAAGATTTTTTTTTTCTGCTGTTTAAATGAGAGATTTGATTTCACAAAATAAAAGAACTCTAGTTCTTCTGAATCAGGAACATGTAAAGACATTTTGACAGTCAGCAGCCAAAATCAAAATGTGCCTTCTGATGTGACTAAAAGCCATAAAAGGTCACAACAATAAGGCTGCTGAATCCTAGATGAGGAGAGTTATTCAGGCTAACCAACACTCCAAGTGCATCAGCATTAAACTACTTTTCTCAACAGACCAGAGGCACATCCACACTCCAGCAAAAAACCCATACACTTTATGACAAAATTGCAATCCTGTTGTTTGGAGTGATAGAATTAAACACCTCACTAGGTTTTCATGACATATGCAAGCCCTTTCATGGATCCAAATTCAGCCCTGTTGCCAGCACATGCATAGCCATGATTATAACAAATTTCTATTTAAAAGACACAAGTTATTTTACACAACAGGTGCTGAACTTGCTGCCAGCCAGCAGGGACTGGGACACTCCAGTATAAGCAGAGAGGAGGATGAATAACGCACCTATAATAGGCAATCACACATCACTAGGAATTGCTAGAAACAGAGCCAGGTCTGACATCCTGGCACACTGCACTTATCAGCTGTGGTGAATTTTGCTGCATACCTGGAGAGGGCTTGGCCTCCTGGCCAGTAAATTGCCCAGAATGGGTCCCCATAAGGCCACAGGTCAGGTTTCTCTCTCCAGAACCTGCAGCGGGGCGTGAGCAGGCGCAGCCGGATCTCTGGGGTGAGGTGCCCACTGTTGGTGACCTCGGTGTTCTCCTCCAGAAACGCTCTCACCTCGGGGGCCAGAGCCTTGCCCGAGCTCCAGTGGCAGCAGCGCTGCCAGCACACAGAGGGGCCTCCCCTCCTGCTTCTCCACACCTTGGCAAGGGTGTTCTGCCTGCCCAGGAGGAGGAGCCACCTCCAGCCACGGAAGGCCATGCTTGCCCAAGGACACCAGCCTTCCTCAGCAGAGTTCGGAAGAAAGTTTGACACTAACTCACAGGATGTTGTTGTTCATAGTGATGGATGACAATTCCTGAAAGGAGAAAAATGCTATGTCAGTGATGTTTCTTCTGTGACTTCAAGGCTTTAAGAAGAGGAGATCCCTGTGCTCTTGTGCCTTGCCCCTGCCCAGTCTTAAGTCTGAAAGAAGTGGTATTCAAGGAAGAAGCTATCAAGAACCCATTCAGAAGAGTACTCTGAGCTTATCCAGTGAGAAACAACCAGTTAGTGGGACAGCCAGCGCTAAAAATTGATTGTGCAACCTTTTAACATCTCTCTCCCTCTGCCCTCAAGATACACACACAGCAATCTACTCCCATTTTGGGTTCTTCCACTGAATCTTCAGATTTTGCAGAAGACTCTGGCATTGCAGGGCCTGTGGACATAGCAGTGGTTATCACTAGGTTGTTTGAAGAGACACCATTAACTACCTTTTTTATAATGGTGATGAATCCTTACACAAAAGCATTATTTTAAAGGCATTCCTCTCTCTCCTTAAGATTTATCAATCTGCCAGCTCCAAAATTGACAAAAATAGAAAAAAAATCCAAAACTGATCTTAACCAGAGTAGTCCTAATTCACTGCATTTCAGCCAGTATTTTAAAGGATTGGTTAGTCTTATGGTGCAATAGTCTCATGTGGATGCTGTCAGTTGTAGAAGAAAGCAGACCTCCATCCCTGTAGCCCACTCTGAGACACCATATAAACATGCTCTAAGCTGTCTGAAGAGAGGAACTGAACCCAACACATTTAAATTAATTTTTAAGAGGTGGACAAACATTTGGACTGGATGGCCTTGCCACACCACTCAAGGTGTGTAGCACACTTCACACAGGTAATGAATAAGGAATGAAAGACTGGTGTGTAAGAGTTTAGATTCATTTAAGAATCAAGAGCGTGGAGAGCCACGGTACTACATTGATAGGCAAAGGAAGAGCCTCTCAGCACTTTATCACCAAACCTTCTCTTGCAGACCCTGGGCCTTTCCTACACTGATCTTGAGAGTACACTCAGCAAGAAGGGGCCTGAAGGGAGAGGAAATGTTTTCCATCCTCCCTGCTTAGATCTCCTTCAACTCATCCATTAGTATTTCCATATGCTTTTTCCTTCCTCACCTTACTCTCCAATTTCTTTTCAATAACTCAGACTTCCTTGCTTCAGGGCACGGCTTTTGAACCTCCCCTGAAACTGATGACCAGGGAAGCATTTCAGGCCCGTGCTTCCACAACAGCAAGACTGCAAGTAGAAACAAACAAGAAACTGAACTCGTTGTTTTGTAAATGTTTTCTCTCTTCTGCAGTGGTTTTCACGAACCAGCAGAATAATGCATGAAGAAAAACAACTTTCATCCCAGTCCCAGCAATTTTTCACAACAACAGAATCATGGACAACTTCAAGCTGTGCAGGTTGTCCTTAAAACTGGACAAAGGCACAACAGGAAGAATATGTCAGTGAAACAGTCTTAACACTTTAATTAGATCAGTTTTTCTTTATTTGTCTGTATCTTTAGAATAAAATTCATCGGTGTTTAACTGTATTTTTGTTGTGTGCTGGCCTCTGCTTTAAGTACTGGCTTTAGTTTCATCACTTGCTCAAACATTAAGCTGTGAACTTCACACTTCGCTTTTTAGGCTGATATTCCTACTAAATCTTGCTTAAATCATTGGCTAAAGGCTTTATGTTTCTATTACAAACAAATACACATGGTCAAACATTTTGCATTTTTCCACACTGGAGAATGCCATTCAGCAGAGTCCATGTAATTAATGAATGCAATTAGCAAATGCCTTCCTTCTTGAAGGCAGATCTCTATAATCCTCATCTGCCTAAGGGAAGCATGATGTTAACTGCAATCAATTGGAGAGATGAGATAAATCTTGTCAGCAAATGCTGTATGCTGGCTTTTCTCCACGAATTGCTGCAAATTAGCAGGGCTGAGATTCTGTGGTGTTTATTTTGCATGGCCTGTCACGATGGTTACTCTCCTGAAATTAATGTCGGTACAGAAACACCTGCCAAGAGCTCAGCATTCAAGATGCCAAACTGAGCTTAAATGCTTAGTGAGGGAAGGCATCATGGACATCCATCCCTGTGTTGACTCTCCTGGCCCATCCATCTTATAGGGAATAAACCCAGGATGGATAACAGGATGGATATTCCTGTGTATGACGCTCCAAGACTGTCCATCTTACAGGGAATAAAATGAGGCTGGATAACAGGATGGATATCCCCGTGTTTGACACTGCTGGCCCATCCATCTTACAGGGAATAAACCAGGATGGATAACAGCATGGATATCCCTGTGTTTAACACTCCTAACCTGTCCATTTTACATAGAATAAAATCAGGGTGGATAACCTGCATTTGACACTACTGCCTGTCTTACTATAAATCAGTGGGTGAGTAGAACTTGGACCAGAAGACAAAACCTAGCAAAACACATACGAAAAACCTCACCTCCCCCTCGCCCCCGGTCACAAAAGAAAAAAACCAAAACCCCAATTTCTATATTTCTATGCAATTTAAGCTTTTTTTTTTTTTTTTTTTTTTTTTTTTTTTTTTTTTTTTTTTTTTTTTTTTTTTTTTTTTTTTTTTTTTTTTTTTTGGCAGAAAGAGCCGTCCAAAACCCAAGCACCCGGCTCCTTCCCCTTGGGGGATGCCAGCCCTCCCCGCACGCCGCCCGCGTCGCGGGCCGAGCGGAGCGGCCGGGGCCGCCGCGCCGCCCTCGCCGCTCTCCCAGCAAAGCAGCCACAGGCCTCGGCAGCACGGGCAGCTCCCGGCCGGGGCAGGGGACAGCCGGGCCCGCTGCCCGGCCCGATCGGAGCTCCCGGCCCGCACGTACCTGCTGCTGCCGCCGCCGCTGCGCCGGGGCCGGGCCGGGCCGCGCTCCCGCCCGCCCGCCCTTAAAGCGGCAGCGCCGGAGCGCCCGGCCCCGCCGGCCCCGCGGCCTCCGCTGCAGCTCGGGCCGCTGCTCTTCGCCGTCCTGCCCCGCTCCCAGTCCGCAGCCCTGCTCGGTGCCTGGGCTTGCTCCGCTCCCGATGCGTTCGAAAGGCTTTTCTGAAAGACGTGCGTCAGTGCGAGCGAGCCCTGCGTTTAAAAACGCTGATAAAAATCCGCGCGGGAAAAGGAGCTATAACACACGGCCCAGCTGAGCGGCAGGGAAAATGAGGGGTTTTTTTGCCCTTCGCGCATCAGATCAAGGGCGCTGTCAATGCGGTGGGGGCGAGGGAAAGCTCTCCAGCCTCTCGGAGATAGCGGCAGCTCCCACAGGCAGCGCCCAGGGCCGGCTCTGCCTCTGGGGCGAGTGGGACCTCTCCCTGCTCCTCTGTTGTTCCATGTCCCGTTCGCATTTCTGCTGCTCCAAAGATCCCTTCTCTTCTCTCCCCAGAGCCTCTCTGGAGAGAGAGCACAGGAGAGAGGGGCCTTCCCACCCTGTGTTGTTGCTGTCCCTCACGAGGGCACAGCTCGGTAAGGCAGGTAAGGCACACCTACACTACAAACGCTGGTGTTTCCTCCGAGGCCTCGAAGTGGCCACATTTTCACATGGCAGTGACTGGGACTCATTGGTGTGGGACAAGGAACCAAACCCACATGCACCCCCTCCAATTCCCCAGGTTTTGAGGTTCACAGAGATGTCCTCAAACGGGCTCACCTCCCTCTGAGACCCCTGTGACTCTCCAACAGCTCCCACCTTGTCTCTGCTCCATCTCCAGTCCCATCTGCTGGGATTTAGGGAATACAAGCAGTTTCTAAAGGTTCTCTACCTCCCCGGTGGGACAAAGTGTACCAAATTTCTCGCGCTGCGTTTTTGAAAGGCTCCTGTGCATTGCCCGAGGTGATGATTCTGCAGCACTTGAGGTACCAGGGGCTTAAACCGGGCGATTCCTGAGCCCCAGCCAGGGTCTGCCCAAATCTCTGAGGTTACGAGGCCATCTAGTGATCTGCGAGCTTGTTACAATTAAAATGTACTCTCCGGGGTCGGAAAGCTGCTTGTGAACCAGGATCTCCCCTTTAAATGCGGGTGATGTGCAGCCTCCCGAGAGAAGGTGACCCCTGCGTGCTGGGCAGTGGAGTGACCAGGACAGAAGCTGGTGTCTGGTGTCCTCCTGCCACACGAAGGAGCCTGGAATCCACAGACATGTTCAACTACAGAGACACTTGCATGCCTTTTACTCTTCTGAAGCAAGACCCTCACTCAGTCTTTTTAGAAATTGTATAAATGTGGACCTTTGTGGTTTATTTGGTGTGGACCAAATAAATTATTTATTTAATGTGGACATTATTTCTTGGGGCCCCCAGGGGAACTGTGAAGTTTCAAAGGATTTTCGGCAGCTCTTGCTGGTCCTCTCCAAGAAGGTAGATGTTGAAAACACTCATAGCACCCAAAATTGTGAATAAAACATGCAATATTTTGTGAAATAAAAATTGTTAATAAAAACTTGTGCCCTCTAGATACTCACCACCATGCTAGGAATGAAGAACTCAGTGATGCTATCAACATCAGCTCAGGATGCCATGGAAGATATGGGGCCAGGATGCTGACAGGTGATGATATAGCTCTACCTTGCACATTTTATTTTATGCCTGACATGGTTCTCAGGGAAGCTTTTACACTTAGATCACCAGCCTCTTTGATTGACATTTTAACAAGTATCTTCTCAGGTCTGGTTTTTCTGAACTTCTGATAGATGATTTTACTTAGTAGCTATGTGAACCTCAGTGAAGTCACTGCTGTCTGATACAGACTAACATCACACTTGAAAAGGCTCTTAAAAAGGATTGAATCATAAAACCACAGAGTGGCTTGTGTTGGAAGGGACCTTAAAGATCATCTAGTTCCAGCCTCCCAAAGAAGTTGACTGGCAACTCCCAGCTGAGAGATTTCATAGGTGAAAAAGGAGGGGTAAAGCCTTTGCTTCCCAGTAACACTGGCAGGGATGTTAGAACCAGAAATTTTTCTCATTTAACTACAACTAATTAGTTGTGATTGTACAGATTCCTAGCATGACACAAGAAAGCCCCAAAACCAGTGATAGCTGCTGTGCTTCTTGTGAGGGTCTGGGTGAACCCCTTAACCTTTCAGGACAAGCTTTGTGCTGATTATTTCAGTAAAGTATTAAAGCCTGTCATCCATGAGAAAACAAGTTTAATTTCCAAAGGCTTTTTGCTTTAGATGGTGACATCTTAAGAATTTCAGCTACAGTTTCTGGTATCCTGTGCAAAGTACCAGAAGTGTGCTGGAATTTGCTCTGAGGACAAGGACGTCTTTGATCAGCACAGAACATGGATTTGGTGTCTCATGGAGGAGTGCAACACTTGCAAAATGCAGCTGTGGAGTAGCACCCAGGGGACTCCCGGGTGTCCAAGGGAATTAGGGGATTACTGGCTGATGCTACAACCGCCCAAGTGTCTGGGGAAATCTTGTTTGAGCCAATTAATAACAAAGAAATGGAGCTGCCCAAGGACAGAGAGGAAGGCAAGGCACAGAGGGGCTACCTTCACATCAGCAAGCCCTCAACTCATGAGCTTTCACAGATACAAAAGTTAAACTCAAAGGAAGGCTGGCCAGTGGTTCAGCAGCCAGGTGACCTCCCCAGGTCACTCTTCCAGCTGGTACAGGTGACAGGGCCAGCTGCTCCAGTTTGCTGTGGCAAAAAGGCCTCAGTGGAAATTCACCAGGGGGAAGATGGATGGATTCAGGACGCTGTTGATTTGTAAAAAGCATTCCAGCAACTCAATATGAACAGTCAGGATTTGCACATCAGGCTCAATTTGTGGTTGCCCAGAGGCTGTGGAAGCAAGTCATTATCAGAATGTAGCTGGTGCAAGTAGCTAAGGTAAAATTGAAGCTGAGAGCTCTAGCTAGGTAAGGGAGAGGCAATTCACTTATTCTGTCATGCTTTCAGCTACAATCCAATTTTAGAATAGCAGTACATCTTTTGCAGTTGAAGAATAGTCATCTTAACATAACAGCAATCACATATTACCTGTGATGAAAGCACTACATGTGCTTTTCACAGGATTACCTTTCTCCACTGCCTTGCCAGGTTAGGAGCAGGAAGGAGCAGCAGCTAGCAGAGATGAAGCCATCAAGTGCCTTCTAACAGTGGAGGCAAGAAGGGGAATTTGTAAGGTGCAGCTATTTTTCAGAGTGGAGGTGGGATGAAGTGAGGAGAAACTGTATTATCTGACCCTTGTGCTGCT